AAATTGTTTGGGGACTATCCCCCACGTTCTAGTTGAGATGGTATAACCCAAGAGGCAAAATGACGCTTGCTACTGTTGTTGCGAGTTGCCATTCGTTCTACTAAACCATTAGTCAAACGCCGTCATGTCTTCTGTCGTTATTACACAAACAAAAATCTCTTTACTGTTACTAGTGTTAGGGCCTCAATATGGCTACGCTCGTGAAAGCAATACAACGAACTCAAACGCGTCTTCGTTCAATGTTGTCAACTAATATCCGGATTAATTTTATGCAAATTTTCCTCAATTCTCTGGGGAAATTTTCATAAAATTTTGAAAAACCCAGAATTCCGGGAAAATCCGGAGGACTTTCATCTCTGAAGGAAGTACGAATTCAAGTTTGCTTCAAGCAAATGATTGTTTCTTGCCGACAGTCCTGGTGCCATTTGAAAATGCTGTTTTTATATGGAACTTGAATGATATCAAATTACATTTTGCCGATGTTCTTAATGAACTGTCAGTAAATGAGAAATTTCTGTTGCATTTCTGTCGTTATTTTGCAAGTCAGTGTTTCGCATACATACCCAGATTGGAGGAAGCTCTTCCCTCTGCGGCTCTGTCTTTCAAACCTTCAGCTATAGACAGCTGCTGTTCATGATACTGCTTCGCCCTCTCCAGGTCCTGCATGCAGCGAGCGGCATGCCCCAGGCCTGCATATGCTCTCATTTCGATGGACTTTTCTTCCAGTTCCTGGGCGAGCTCCAGCACGTGAGTGTGGTAAGACATGGCCTTGTCAAAGTTTCGGTGATAGTGGTAGGCGCTGCCGAGGTTACTGTAGGCCCGAGCTTCCTCCCGCTTATTTTCAAGGGCCTTGGCGATGCCCAAGTGCTGCTCGTGGCTTTGGACGGCATTGTCAAAGTCTCCCATGGCGATGTAGACAGCACCCATGTTTCCCAGCTCTCGTGCCTCAGAGAGTTGATCTTTAGACTGCTTAGCTAGCAGAACACACTGCTTGTGGCTGGCCAGTGCATTTGGGTAGTCCCCTATGGCTGTGTATACATGGCCCAAGCTGCTCAGGGCCATCGAAGCAGCCTAAAGACAAAGACAGACAGACAGAGAAAGAGTAGGGTTTAGATACAAAAACATTTTAAGAAGCCGAATCACCTACACCCACATTTAATTAGGAGTATTTTATTAGCTTTGTTGTAAAAAATTCCCCACTGTGCCAGCATGTATAAATCCAGAAAAAAAGTCTTCAGAAATTCACTGAAAAAGGCTTACTGCTCAGACACCAACTGACCAAGAAAACCTCATTTGACCTCATCTGCGGTTGCAAAGCAAGGAAGGGGGCAAAGTGTGATGCATATCAGCGCAGCAGTAGGTTTGTTTCAAAGCCTCCAGTTTGCCAACTGCAATCATACTTCACGGTGTGCCACCGACACCGGAACAAAGGAAGTTTCTAATCAGGCGGGTGAGTCGAGGGGTTTCGGCTTCACATTAGACCTGTGCAGGGGGGGACAACTGGCTGACTGTCTTCCTGCTGGCAGAAATGCTGAGGCTATAAACAGACAAAATACTTCTGTGTATTCTGAACGACATTTCATGCCACTTCCACAAGCACCGTCCAATAGTCAAGAGTACTGCTTTGAGCACAAATTGCACTGCGGAAAGCAGTTCGGCAGCAAAATGTCAACACAAAAGAAAAACCCTGTCCGCACAAACATGCTTTAAGAATTTTCATGTCTTTCTTTCTTTCTTTTTGTTTTTTCTTCTTTTTATGATGTCTTATCTCATAGGGTACACTGACTGACTGTGAGCCTTTACCTTGTCATCTTGGTCAATCAAGATTTATTCAAAAATATTTATTTTGCAATGTAATAATGAATGGTTGTTTGTCCTTCTCGCAATCAGTTTAGGGGAATTTTCCCTCGAAGCTGCACGCTGAGCAATTGGGCAGTGCTCTCGCCCTCTCAGCGCAGTGTGACACAGTCACACACCACACGCACACATTACATTTCCACCCCAGTCTAATCTACAAACAGGACACCACACCATTCCCACTTTCCTACAGTTTAAGTAGTGCAACCGAGGAAGTACACTCAGTTATTCTACTATAGTTTGAAGCATACATTGAAGTGACACTGTAAACATGGGCGTCCCTTAAATGAGGCTCTTTTGAGTGTATCAGAGGTTCGGTGACTACATTTTTGTCTTTTATTAAATGACATGATTTCAATGATTTATGAGTGTACCATATTTAAAAAGACTGCATTGAGGCTTTAGTAATCATACTTAAAATGACCTGTGTGAAAAAAAAAAAAAACACAAACTAGGGCTGATTTTAGTCATTTTATAAATCTCTATTCAATGATTTGTTCGATTTTGATATATACTGTAGGTGGTTTGAATTTTTTGGGAACATATTTACACCATGTAAATCTTTATGATCTCAGGTTTTGGACATGTGTGATACTAATTTGGCCGTCATGTGCATGTGTGATGTTGCTTACCGTGGTTCAAGGGAAGCTCAGGGAGTTTGTGTGAATTCTCAGAGGCATGGAAAATTAGGTAGGCATGTCTATTATTTTTACAACTGTGTCTACCTAGTTCGCAAAGAGACTTTGGCTGTTTTCAAGGAATTCAATATCAATCAAGCGTCACTACCAACCTACGAAACATGCAAACTACGACAAGGTGACTGGCAACGAGCACCGTGAAAAATTACACCTGGAAGCTTTTTGTCAAATGTTCACTGTTCTTCAAGGATCCAAAGCACAGTAGGCACAAGCGAGATCATTGTCTGCTACTCTCTCATCTATGTCAAATGAATTGGTCATAACTAGCATTTATAGTAGTTATTTTAATTTTACTGATTTTTGATCGATGGCGTGAGGATAAGCAGTTGGGATAATGAATATGGGATGAATTTAATTGTAATCAAGTGTAATATTCAGTCCATATTATGATTTGTTTCCCCCTTCATCCACAACTTCCAACTCACCACTATTGTTTTTATACATATTAATTTTAAGGAAATTACTTTGCTCAGGCTCCTAATTGGCAAAAATATCTTTGCAGTTTAGCATAATAATCTTCTGTTATGGCATGCACTTAACAGCCTGCAAGTGAACATGTTTTTTCAATGCCATTAGGTTTCTTTCACTTTAGAAAAAAATATTTGTTAATGTGAGCATCTCCAAGGCACATAACCAGAGCAGGCTTATTAGATGTTTATGCAGAGGGTAAACAGCTGCGACTGGGGTCAGCTTTCTCTGCCTGAACAGATGTTCAATTAATTTCACACGACCAGCTAATGAAGCAACTCCTTCCACAGCTCCCACCCACCCCATACCAGCCAGGAAAAAGTTTGGACTCAGGCCACCAGAAAGGACATTCATTCTGACAAGGAAGGTCACTGTCAAGCCTTGAACCGGTAACATAGACTGTGTCATGATGAAAGTCAATAAAAGATCATGCTTGGTTTGAATTTTTGAACTATTTAAACTTAACTCATTACCTTGGGTTCCATGTACTGTACTGTGTTTATATACTTTATATGTATGTATATTACACAGGAAACAGTAATCCCTCGCGGTTCATCTTTCACAGCTTCGCTGTTTCACATTTTTTTTCCATGCTTTTTTTTTTTTTTTTTTTACACTGCATTGTATTGTGCATCCCGAGTCTTAAGGGACTTGAGACTACTTTAGAATAAAGAGAACAGTCTCCACACTTCATCGCTGTACAGCCTGCCAAATTTTCTCCATGACAAAACCCACAATGTCGATGAAACGTTCTGTACAGTATTTGTAAAAACTGTCAGTTGTTTGGAAGAAAACGTTTATATTTTTCTTTTTTTTTATGCTTGGGCTTGAAAAAAGGTTTAATCTTTGGTTTCATTCAATACAGTATTGTATACAAAATAAAGAGTGTAAAAAGTACTGTAAAAAGTAAAGATGAGTACTTCACGGATTTCACTTATCACGGGTTCTTTTGGGAACATAACCCCCGCAATAAACGATGGATTACTGTAATGGGAATTTTGTTATGTACTAATTTAACCTTTTTCTGAAATTACATGGAACATCTTTTGTGTGACACCTGGAAAGTTTTGTAGAATTATTCTCTCTCCCAGTCAATGTACTAACAAGTCGCGGGCTGCTTGTACATTTTTCCAATAAGCTCCTCTATTTCATCCACGGGTAACTGTGGAATTATAAATATGGTCACGTAATGTTGTAAAACACAATCTAAGTGAACTATATATACTTGAGAGCGTAACTGTCGCTAACACATAAGTATATTTCTCGTGTGTGTGCTGTCCAGCCGCAGGTGCTTATCTCTCCCTCCCTATCTCCTTCGCCCGCACCCTCCCTCCGCAAGATGACTATCGTTGGCTGGCTTTAGCTGTCGATCAACGCCAAATTTAAAAGGAGAAACGTGATATTGTTTGCACTGAGCTTTACATGGCAAGGTCATGTGACTGATATCCTAATGTCAATGTTAATATCGAGAATGCTCATATCTCGATAACAATAATATAACTATATATTGCCCAGCCTTATACACAACCAAGGTCAAATGTGAAGAAATGCACTTGCAGTGAACAGGACATATCTTTGCTTGGCCCTGGGGCTACGTAAGGAAATTCGGATGCTTTGAATAAATGAAAACCAAAGTACAATGTTGATTTAAAAAAAGAAAATAAATCAATACAGTAATAGTCCCTTTCAAGGACAAACGCTATTTTGCATTGGTTATTTTTCTCACATAAAATGTGCAAACAGTATACAAACCTAGCAAGCCTTATTTCCTTCACTTCAAGTTGCTGCTGATGTCTGCAACCAATTACCTGCTGACACAAGGACTCTCAGCACTTTGCTCAAGTTAAAAGACGCAACAAGGCATTACACAGACCCAGGGATGCAATTACCCTCCGTCACAAACTGTTGCTGTTTCATGTTCTAAGATAGCCTATCTGAGGCTGCTCAATTACATGTACCTTTTGAAGCCTCGCTTGTTCTCTCAAACTCAAACTTCCGCTTTTGTGAGCAGAAAATAGAGGATTCCTCATCTGCCTGACTTCAGAGTGCAGCTGTATAGGCAGCAAAAGGAAGACCACAATCTTTTGCCAGCACAGATGAGTCGCTCTGATGAGCGCCCCTTTAAAGTAAGACTGCAACACTGCATTCTCACTGCAGATGGAGGCCAAGATAATGAAGAGTCTACCTTGACAGACGCAGACCATGCACAACTACGGGGACCAACTCTATTAAAATGTATGTAATCTCCCCCCAAAAAATAAAAATCACTGAGGAGGATGCAAACCACATCACATATTCAACTTGGGAGTGAACATTACCTGTTTGTTTGTGTGTGTGTGTGTGTGTGTGTGTGTGTGTGTGTGTGTGTGTGTGTGTGTGTGTGTGTGTGCGCGCGCGTGCTTTTATTTGTATATCGTTGCTACATGTAGATCAATGATTGATTTTGTTGTTGTTGTTGTTGTTGTTGTTGCTGCTTGAATCACTCTTTTACTTATAGCCTACGCTTTCTTATCCAAGGTGTCATGGGTGCTACAAATAATACAAAAGTGGTCCTTCAAATTCTATTTAAAAAGCCAGCAGCGAGAGGACTGGACTCTGAATCAGAAATATCCGATAAATGAGCACTCGGACTTTCATCCAGGTGGAGATGTTGGCCATCCTCCTGTAAGTCAAATTCAACTTGATCCCATTGCCCCTGTTACAAATGTTAAAAACCAAAGCATTTCAAACGTTAAAACAAATTTGTGTGGCCCAAAATGCCCTACCGAATATAACACAAATGATTATCATGCGCCAAAATGGCATAAAATAGTGATTCTGCTTTGGGTCATTTTTGGCCCATTTAAGTGTAGGGGCCACTCACTCATATATCGAAGGTAGTGCTTCTCCATCATTTTCTGCTACCCCCCCCCACCCCCCTAGGAAAAGGAAAATATTTCACACACCCCATAATTCTCTGTCACAACTATAAATAGTATAATTCGTCCATAAACTTGTTAGAAGTACACCTCCGCATAACATTGTATACTCATTAACAAAAAAAAAAAACAAACAAAAAAATAAATGAATTAATACAACAACCTACAACAAAGAATAACTAATATTTTTTTTTCATCTTACTCTTCCTTTTTTTCATCAGTGTTACATATTTTTTTCCATGGTGTCTCTTAAGGGTTTGTTCACAGCACTTCATAGCTCCCGCTCTGTGCTGTGTGTGCACATACTCGGTGTAAAAAAAAAAAACAAAAAAAAAAAACAACACCACCTTAGAGCTAATACTTCTTCCCGCACGCCCGCGAGGGCGGGTGGGGGTTGGGTGGGTTTGGGGGGGGTCGCGCGCCGCAGCCGCGCCCAGTGCAGTACTCCCTGCGCAGATGCTAATCATGAGAGCACCACTGCCAGCTACTGCAGTGGAAGTGCAATTACATTTCAATCTAGATTGCAGTATGGGAAAAAAAAGTTCTCGAGGGTCAACAGTACACACACCCTCAATGGCATCACAGTGCACACCCCTAGGGGGTGGGGCACCCCAGCCCCACTATTTGAGAATAACTGATCTAAGGGATAACAATGTGCTCGTTATTGTTGACTATTTATTTAAATAACGCATTACTAAGTAAAGAATCACTGGCATCACTAGTCAGATATGATTGTACTTGCAAGTCCAGTGTCATCTGATTTGATTGAAAACTCTTAATATTCAATTGGTGTTTTATCAGCAACCATATGTTTCACTGAGGCTCTCTTGATTGAAGGTAAACCGGTTGTGCTGGGAGTAGATAGGACAAATGCAAAGGGAGATGGCATGGGAGGGATGATGCCATGTTAATCACAAACCCTCCAAGACTATTTCTTATTCCTGACAAGGAGAGTGGCTTAAGATCTGTTCCGCATTCTCATCCATAAACTCCTCTTCTAAGTATGTTTATATGCTGTAGAACATTAGACTAATGGTCGCTTTCGTAGAATGTGCAAGAGGTAATGAATCGTACTTAGAATAATTACCCTCTTATGTCATGCGGCAGAGCTGCTATTGATAGTATGAATTCTGTGACTCTGAGTCCCTGTTGTGTGTTTTATTTCTCACACTGGCCAGCAATTTATGGCTAACTCGAGTTAGGCGGTGACGCTTTTACTTGCAGGATATATCAATGACTTTGGGAAAAAAAAAAAACATCTCCTTAGTTTTGACATCTGAGTGCTGATATCCTTCCAAGGTGATAATTATAGACTAGTGGCGCTCACAGGACAACTGCAGTTGCCATGGCAATAAATTGTTCATGGATAGTCTTGGGACAAGACTACATTACTATCACCATGTGTGTTGATAAAGGTAAAGAACGTTGAGTTTAGAGTAGCAAACTAGCTTGAGGGCGAGCAGCGCTGCTTGAGTATATCATCCCCTTACAGTCTATAAAATGTAATGGCAATGAACAGGGAGGGTATCACCTTTTGGTCTGGGTTGCATGGCCATAGAGTAAACTTTTCAGCTCCCCAACATAATAACAATCAAACTCTTATGGATGCTGCAGCTTTGCAAAGTTATTGTGAAGTCATGGATGATATTCTGTGTTTTTATTATTTGCTTTATGTGAACCAAAATGAAGACTCTTGATCTGAAATAGTTAACATCATAATGCGTGTAAGTATGCATGAACTGGAGCAATTGCTTCTATATTTAAGAAATGTCTGCTAAGGGTAGACAATGGTAAACACATTATGTTGCTGATCAATTAATGAGTGACTATTTTTAGATGATAAATAACAGATAACTATTGCCTACAAACATAATATATAGTCAGTGCAAATATGTCTCATGTGACTGGAATGATTGTCGTGTTGCATGCAAACACTACACACAATCCCACGTTTTCCCGCTAATTGAAGTGCACACACAATTCCGTGTTTCCATCAATATAGAGGACGTTACAATGACTGACATTAATTTCCCTGGAGCTTAACCACAACTCGTCTAACCTTATCAAAAAATAAATAAATAAAATCTAAGGATTTATGGGTGGTGAGTCCCCGCAATCTGAGTTTACAGATCTATGTGTAACACAAGTACATGCACACATGCGCACACACAGGGAAAGCCAGCTGGCTAATTAAAAGGCACTGCAGAGGGAAGGTGAGGAGAACCATGCACCAGTGTTTCCCTTAACAAGATAGACTCCAGCAGCACGAGCAGCTAGCTGGCGGTGAACACTAGTGGGAGTGGTTGGGGGGAGTTGGGCAATGGGGGCGAGGAAGAGGGGCAGATAAAAGCGATGGGAGAGATCGTGTTTGAAGAATGAGAAGAGAGAATGCTAAATACATCCCCGGGCTGTGGCCGTCCTCACATCTGGTTTCCCTGCTACAAATGCATCTTGACAGTAAAAGGAAACATCTCTCTATCAATGTAATGAACACGGAACAGACCAGAACAACAATGCTCTAAAACTAGCCTCAGCGAACATTTCTGCATGTGCATGCGTACAGTACCAACAACATGAGCTTGTATGAAATCATAACGGCTAGAAGGGGTGTTGTATGAAGAAGGAATGTTGCTGGTATCTGTGTGGATGCTGGGGGCGGGGAGAGAGATAATAAAATATTCATCTAGCTTTACAGGTTTATATTTCATTCTCTTTCCCGGTCCAATGCTTGGATATGGATCCCACAGGAGCCGCAATTAAATTGGCCAAATGACAGTCACTCGGCCATATCAAAACCTTCTGTTTTTTAAGCGGGGGAATGTTGTGCTTTGCCAAGCGAGGGTAGGTACAGCTGCGGCTGAGTGCTCACTTAAACACACATTCACACAAATAAGAGCCGACGCACGCTCTCTGATTCAAAGATAATATTCCTGTTGGTCATATCTTCTCTTAGATTAAAAAAAAAAAAAAACATCCTCGAGCATATCCTATTCTTGGAGTGCTTTTTATAACCAAACAATAGCTAGCTGTGAACCAATTTCTCAAATCAATCATCGGAACTAATCTGATTGACTGGCAGCGGTGACATACCGATACTACAGGAGCCACTTCTTCATCTGTAACCTGTGCAACCTCCAGCTCATAGATATATGACGCCAGAAGGCCTGAAGCTTGATAATTGCTTTAGCCTCGACAGGACACGTTAACAAAAGGAGTGATTGTCACCAAAGGTCAAATTACGGTTAAGGGCAACTCGTGACAGCTTCCAAGTTGTCTGCTCCAGGACCCTCCCACACCCACCTCTACTGTACAAGCAGCAACAAGATGCAGCCGCACCAATGGGCAAGGGGGAATTGCATGGGGTTAGCTAATGATACACATAAGATGCCGTGGAGTTTTGGCTTGTGAAAAAGCCTTTTTTGTCTGAGCTGTGGGTAGTCTACGCAGTGGTGCCAGGCTAAATGGGAGATCATTTGCGGTTAGTCTCAAGACCCAGTATGCATTCCCTCAAATGTCCTTACTCCAAGAGTATCCTAAGGCTTGTGGGTTTCATGCCACTGCGTGAGTGTGTGTCTGTGTGGCCACATTTGTGCAGTTTGTGTATTTTTTCCGCCTGTTTGAGGCAGTACGGCAGCTATTGGTGGCAAACAGTCGAGAGGAAGAAATCAGAAGAG